CCCCAAAACCCCAAAACCCCAAAACCCCAAAACCCCTCTTCCTTAAAGTTTTATTGAAAGTTTTAGAAATTAAATATTATCCCAATAATGATGATAGAAAATCCAGAAATAAAATAAGGATGAACGAGAATCGGGATGGCTTCTTCAATAATATGAATTTCATTGAAAAGACATATAGCGGGCTATTCTTTCGGTTATTTCCTTAATGATAATAGTATCCTTATGCATGTTTGAAATCCAGGCTTTGTTCGATAACAACGTTGTTAGAGTGCTAAAGATTGAACAAATGGATCCACATGAGAAAATACAAATTAACATTGATATTGATTTCCCGGCAACCCCTTATGATGTCATTTCCCTAGACATTCAAGATGAGATGGGCACACACATGGTAAATGTAAAAGACTCGATCAAAAAGGTCAGAATGAACTTAAAGAAGGATTAAAATGGAACAAATCTTGGAGGATACAAAGATATTGTACAGAAAGCAATGGGCTTAAGTGAGAAAAAATTGAAGATCAACTTAAAAGAGCTTAAATAGCTTTTGAAACAGGTGAAGGGTGTAATATAATAGGAGATATTAGTGTCAACAGAGTTCCTGGGAATTTCCATATTGAATCCCATGCTTATATGCAACTTCTGGCCATGCTTGGTCAGCAGATTAACCTCACTCATACTATTCATAATCTTAGTTTTGGAAATAAGAGAGTACTTAGATCTGTTCAGAAAAAAATTTAAGGATAAAACTGGAGAATTTAAATATCTTATTGGCCATAAAGAAATATCAGAGGAGTTAGGAACAAGCACAAATTATCAATTAAATCTTGTCCCTACTCTCTACAGAGACAATTTTGGGTTCAAGCATTCTGTCGTCTATCAATATACATATACTGTAGGGTCTGAAAACATTGGTAACAAAGTTGTATATTTCAAATACTTCATCAATGGGATTACAGTAGATTATATGCAAACAGCAGATACGTTCCTCCAATTTATCATCAGAATCTGAACCATTATCGGAGGAGTCTTCACTATGTTTCATATCTTGAGTGTAATGCTGAACAAATCAATAAATGTGCTCTACAAGGAAAGAATTGGAAAGAAAGATTAATAACCCGATATCAACCATTGCTCAAAGTTATGGGGTTTTGGGGTTTTGGGGTTTTGGGGTTTTGGGG